TGAATTATTTTTGTGTTAAGTATGTTTTTTTAATGCAGCATATTGTTGGATCTTGTTTCTTGATACATTGTGCCAGTCTGTTTCAGTGATGAGACCATTAATATTGGCGGCCTTAACTGATATGCATTGGCTTATCTTTTTCGTATTACTTTCCTTTTTTGTTTGATGTCATTTCTCTTTGTTTAATACTTGTTCTGTCTGGTAGTTTCTTTCAGTTGGTGTTCTTGTGCATGTGGTCTTCACCTTCTCCTTCTAATATACCCTTCAGAGCATTTTGGAGACCTTGTTTTATAGCCATGAATTTCTCCAGTTGTCACTTGTCATAGAAGTATCATATTTCTCCACTGATTTTTTTTCTTTCGGTGACCTCATGCTTGTTAGGCAGGCACTTGTGCCACTGAGCTAAACCCCCAGACCTTCTCCATTGGTTTTGAAAATATTTTTATAGGGTGCATCAATCTGGGTTGGAGGTTTTTTTTGAGGGCTTGAAATACATCACTTCAATTTCTCCTTGATTTGTGGGCGTATGTTGAAAAGTCTGAGGTGATTCTGATGGGTTTTCCATTATAGGAGATTTATTTATATTTTCTGCTTTTAATATTCTGTTGTGAATGTCTGGGATACTGATAATTATATGCCTTGAAGTAGATTATTTTGATCATGGTTAATTGAAGTTTTATATGCCTCACTTATGTGTAGGTCAAATTCTTTATCCATGTTTGAGAAGTTGTCTGTTGTTACTTCTGTGAAGAGGTTTTTATGGCATATTTGTTATCTGCAGCTTTCTCATTGACTCCAGTCAATCTTCTGCTGTTATTCTTTGTTTCATTTGTAGTCATTGGATGATTTTTCATGTTTCCTAGCTATTTTTTTATTTAAAGAGAAAAAAAGAAAGTACATAAAAAACAAAGCAGTAAAAGGGTACAAGTAATACAGAATTTCAAGAAAAAAATATACAGTAAGAAATCACCAGTTAATAGCTTACATATTATCTTCCCAGAAACAGTTGTCCAAATTACAAAATTAAAACATATAAAGTGGACATTCATACAGTGACATTGTAGACAGTTCCGTTCAATGATCCAACAAAAGCTCAGTAATGTGGTTTTCCATCCTACACACTTGAACATACCTGCAGTTATATCCCTTAGTACACCTTCCTTTCCTCTCTTTTTTACAATAACAATTACACTTTTTGGGTTTTATTACCCCCACAGTTCTTACTACTTTCTTTTGTAGAGAATAAAACCAAATGTGACTAAGCAAAACAGAGTCAGAACAGAAGGCTGGGCATAGTACATGATGCAAAAATAGAATACCCACGTGATCAAAAGTTGGTTACCATTGTGCCTCTTGCTATTTTTAATTTGAGTTGCCTATATCATCAGGTATAACAGAATTGATCAAAATGGCACAGAACAAGACCAATGAAACCTACACTGGAGACCTTACAGGACTTCAAAAAAAGGATAATACTCAACCCATAATGATGCCCATTATTAGATAAGATATATTGCCTTTAAAGTGGTTGCCGATACCCTTAAACTTGATACTATCAAACAAAATAGAATATAGAATAATCAGACAGAACAAGATGGGGAGTTCAAGTCAGGTTAATAGGAAAACCAAGAAAGTTACTATAATATGTCCCTCTATTTTTAAATTTAGTTTTCCCTTAATTAAAAAAATGAGAGAAAATAGAGATTAATTTAAAAAAAGAGGGGAGATTGAGATAAGATAGGACATTGTAACAGAACAATGCAGGTCAGAACCGAACAATTAAGCATTATTGTGTTTCACCACAGATAATTTAACATAATAGTAGTCACCATAGTGCCTCTTTCCTTGAATTATTTGAGTGTAACTTCGTATGCTATAACATCAAGCATATCAAGACAGTGTGAAGCCATTCAAGAGAATGCAAGAATTACAGGTTATTCAGAACCAGCTAATAGAAAAAGAACAACGGTTTCTATATTATCTCTTTGCCTATAGAAAATTTTGTTTATACTATAGCATATAGTGAAATATAGTAAGGTACAACATGTTAAAACCAATGGAAACAGATGTACCACAGCTTGATGGGACTTCAAAACAAGATGATATTAAATCAGCACTCACTTTGATGTTGTGTTGTTTTCTTCAAAATAGCTATTCGTACTATCATAGATACTAAAATCGAACAACCCAGATTAAAACCATTGCAATTAGTGAGTGAAAACATTATATGGCTTCAAACCAATATGATTGGGAATCATGTTTACCACATACTTTTATGTATTATTATCATTTCTTACACTAGGGAAACTATTTGGTGTTTATACATGTGAGTTTGATTTATTTCACTTATGACTATGGTCTCAAGCTGCGTCCATGTATTTATAAATGTCTCAATGTGATCATTCTTTATAGCTGAGTAGTACTCCATTGTATAAAAATACCACACCTTTTTTATCCATTCTTCAGTTGATGGACACTTAGGTTGTTTCCAAGATCTGGCTATTACAAATTGTGCTGGTATAAACATGGGTGCACATATATCACTGTGGTATGATGCTTTCAGTTCTTTTGGGAATATGCCTAGAAGTGGTATAGCTGGGTCAAATGGGGCTTCCAGTCCCAGTTTTCTGAGAAATCTCCAGACTGACCTCCACAATGGTTGCACTAGTCTACATTCCTACCAACAGTGCAGGAGAGTTCCTTGTTCCTCACAGCCTCTCCAGCATTTGTTGTTGTTTGTTTTCTTGATCTTGGCCATTATTTCAGGAGTGAGATGAAATCTCAGTGTGGTTTTAATTTCCATTTCTCTAATGACCAGTGATGATGAACATTTTTTCATATATTTATTTTCCATTTGTATTTCTTCATCTGAGAATTGTTTATTCATCTCAGATGCCCACTTTTGGATTGGGTCTTTGAATTTTGGGGTCTGATTTTTTAAAATTCTTTATATGTTTACACAGAAATCCTTTGTCTGAGGGGAATTTCACTAAGATTTTTTCCCAGTTTGTGGGTTTTCTTTTCACTATGCTGGAGATTTCTTTTGACATGCAGAAACTTTTTAATAAGAGGTGATCCCAGTTATTGACTCTGGGAAATATTTCCCATGTGGTTTGCTTCTCTAACTATATTTATCTCTTGCTTTATTTAGTTAAATACTTCATTTTTAAACTCGTCTATGAGGCTCTGGAGATATCGCTTCATGTCTAGTGGTGCCGTATCTGATATTGCATGTTTTCTGTCTTCCTTTGCATTTCCCTTTCCTGGATCAGTGTTCTCAGGATTGGGGACTGAGGACCCTTTCTTGTTCCTTCCTCTTCTCATACTTTTTGTTCTTTCCATACAAGGGAATGTAGGAGGCCCAATTTTTTTTCTCTTTTTCGGTTACAGTTTGTTTGAATTTTGCTGGCTAGGTGTTCCCGCCCACTACAGTGTACCAGGGAGACACAGACCTGGGCAGCCTGTGCTGGGCCCGCCCCTCCAGGTCAACCTACTGAAGGCTTCACCACTAGGGTGCACCTCCAGGCCCTTGGGCCTGGGTTGGGCTAGCCTACTGGGTCTAAGTCAGTGGCGTCATGTAGGCCAGGCACTCCTCACCAATCCCGCTTGAGAAGGGAATATGTGACTGAAGTGACTGCAGTGCCCTGTTTTGGCAAGTCTTCCCAGTCCCATTACGTCCTTTGCTGGAGCCTCCTACTCTATGAAAGGGTCCCCGTTCCCCGCACTCACTGCAAGTCCATGTAGGGCTCCCTGCTAATCCTGCTCTCAACTCCATTTGCAGATTCCTGCTCTCAGAGCTTTCATGCATCTCTCTCCCTGCCCTGCAGATTTGGACGCAGCAACGGCAGCAGGAAATTTAGATCACAGCTTCCAGTGGTGGGAGTTCTAGCTTCTACCCTGAAATTTTATCTGTTCCTCTTATAGCATCAGGATTGGATTTCCAGTTAGTTTGTTTTAGCTTAGTTCATTCCTGGGTCAGCAGGTTGTATGTTCCCTTGCTTATGATTCCTTGTACCACAGCATTCCTGGATTCTAAGCTGGGTCTCTCAGAGAGCCTCTGTAGCTGCTGCTATCTATCTGCCATGTTCTTCCAGAAGTCGCTTATAGATTTCTTATCACAGCTTTATCACAATATCCAGGCTTCCCTAGGAAATGTGTTTTCCTCAGGGATATCTTCTAAACATATGTGGTTATTGGTCTTTGTGTTTGTCTCAAGAACATATTGTCACAACTTATTAAGATAGAGAATTTAACCTAGTGGAGCAAATAGACAAAGAAGTCGGTAATAATACTACAGAATCATCCTTTGCCCTTGTATGTAAGGGCATGTTCACTGAAGTTCACTGTTCTGTGCAGCAGGAGATAAAGGGAAATAGTTTTGATAATAACAAGGAAGAAGTGGGTATGAAGAATAATAATGATAAACTAATAAAAAAGAGAGGGGAGGAGAATAAAAGAGGAAAAACAATCATTTTTTCCTCCTTCCTCAATGACCATCTGACCAACATAAGTGTGAGTGGAGGTGAGAGCACACATTGTCATCATTCAGCCTAATTCCTGTGTGCCTTCAGAGTGGAAACACATTACCATCTTGAATGAGATTTTAGTGTTTAGAGATACATTTTCTTTCAGATAGAATTCACCCCATCTCATCTCAACAGAACTACAATCTTCTAGAGAGCATGCATGATGTGTGCAAATGAACTTTAGCATATAGTTCTCACTGGAAAGTAATTACTGCAGGGTTTTGGTGAGCAGCCCACAAAATAGCTTGTATACTCCTGCTTGAGGGGTATAGCTGAGAACTCTAAATTTGTAGCTCTTATGCATTTGTTTCATTCATTTGTTTTGTTTCTCCAGCTTATTATTTTTTAAAATTTGGTTTTAGTGCACTTGCAGTACACAATGATTACATTTATTATTGGGAGTTTGTGCATGTACATAACACAACTTAATCTTTTTTTCTCCTTCCTATTCTTCTCTCTATTATTTTCTGCCAGGTTCAGTAAGAAAAACAAGGAGAATATTGACCCTTACATATACATGCCCTTTGGGAATGGACCCAGGAACTGCATTGGCATGAGGATGGCACTCATGAACATAAAACTTGCTCTCATACGACTCCTGCAGAACTTCTCTTTCTATCCCTGTAAAGAAACACAGGTCAGCCAATAAATTTTCTGCATAAATATTGCTTTTTTGGGAGGTCTTTTAAAAAACTATTATGTTTGTATACAAATATGAACATGCTTATGGATATTTTCATAATTTGTTCTATGGGAAAAGAATCTATTTGCAGCTGGTACAAATTTCAAGGGTCCTTTAATCGTGGAGCTGGAAATCTGTGTACAATTATAAAGAACAGCAAAAAGATCTTGTAGAGTGAATGCAAATTAGCATAATATGGTAATGTGTAATTCTTTTAAGAAGTCTTAAATTTCAATTTCAAGTGAAGTGGAGATGGAACATGCTCTGAAAAAACTATAAAGTGCATGTTTACATCAGCATAGTGCCCAAGTGGTGCTCTCCTTTGCTAGGCTTACAGGAGCTTTCTTGTGACAGTGATTCTCAAGTCCTGGTTTTACCCTGGAATACCTGAGGAGCTTTAAAATCTCCTGAGCTTAGTTCCTGGGTAATTTTAGATATCCTAAAATATTTCAACCAGAGTCAAGGTGTAAGAGCTCTCCACTAGTTCTCAGTTGTAGTAAGGATTAAGAATCTTTAGTTTTACTGCTGGATATGAAGAACTCTCACCTCTCAGGGACATCCTGACTACTTGAGCACATATTTTAGGAGCTCTGCTCCAGATACACTAGGTATTTTTTACATTCTCATAATAAGTGTATGGATCTTCATGTTTTTCTCCTCCTGAGTATATTATCCTTAAATCCTATTTCAATCCTCAAATTCCTCTGAGAGGCCATCTTCATCTTTTCCAGAGCCTACTAATGATTACTTCAGGGTGTTATTATCACTTAAATTAATAACTTTCCATTAAAGCATACAATTTGGTTTTCTAGTTTTTTTTTTCATTGGTGGGAGAAGAGGAGAGCAGCGGTGTTTATCTTGTGTGTTGGCAGCTGTGTAGTTGTCTGGTAAGAGTCCCTAGATAGCAATAGTATTGGGAGAAAGCAGACCACTGGTGCACCTGGAATGGAGCAGATCCGCCCTGGTAAGCTCCTAGTTACCTACAGGCTGGCACTACTTAGTCTGCATGTCAATTTAGTAAATTTTCCCTTTGGTCTAATGAGATCATAAACTTACTATGAGGCTCTATCCTTGTCACTGAAGAGAATGGAGAATGTGGTTTAAGAACTAGTCCAAGTGCTGATTAACAGACTTTCTCTATTTGTACTATTTTGGGGAGTCAAGAGGAGATATAAGCAAACATATGTGTTTACAAAGAATTATGCTCCATAATATAACTTTTTTCTATTTTATTTCTGTGATTGTATTTCATTTTTTGCTTCTAAATATCTTTGTTTAATATTTGCAGATCCCTCTGAGGTTAGGCTCAGAGGCTCTACTTCAGCCGGCAAAACCCATAATTCTGAAGGTTGTGTCAAGGGATGAGACCATAAGAGGAGCTTGATCATCTATGGACTTCTGCTATGTTCTTTATGAAGGCTTTAATTTACTTTTGAATAAAACTCAAATGAAGATGAGCTTCATAAACTGCCTTTGAAGAGTTATGAGGGATTCAGTACACACTTTGGCTTGCTCCATATCTGTATAATCTATCTGTTATAACAAAATGAGTGTCAGACTTGTCAGTTCACATTCTCTAATTCTCACAGGACTGTCTCTATCCGTCTCTAAGTGGTACCATCAATTGCATTTGAGCTCTGATCAAGGGAAACATTTCTCAACAATTTTAACAACAATTTTTAATGAGAACAAGAATTATAGCTCTGATTGTAGTAAAAATTTGTATGAAATATTTGTAATATATAAGTAGCATTATTTGAAAATTCAAATAAACATATCTCTTGAAAAAAAGTAATCTTTAAAAAGTGCACATTGTGAGGGAAGCTATTTTTGGTCATCAAAGTCACTGGTCCTGGAGCCCTTTTTCTGATCCCATTTGTACGTTAAGATTGATGAGAATTATTCCTCTGATTTTTATCAGAGGATGTAGAATTTTTTCAGAGGATGTAGTTTGGAAACTACATCCATGATTTAATTCTAGCCTTTTGAAGCGTATGCTTTTGTGTAACTGAAATGAGGTATTCATTACTTTATTATTAATTTTGATTTAGCATCATCTTCCGAGATGTTTCTGGAAAATAGGAAACATGCCCTTCTTTCCTTTTTTCTGCCTTTTTCCACTGGGAATGGAGGGTAGGCACATGCTAAATAAGCACTTTTACCACTGATCTACATCCTCAGCCCTAGAAACATGTTTTCTTATGTCTCTTTGTAGTCAATCTTCAACTTCCTGATCCCTTAATACAATTGAAATTAACAACAAAAATAATAACTACAAACTATTTTTCAGCTGATTTGGGAGCAAAAGTGAAAGAATTTGTCAACTTCTGTTGGCACTAACAATCATAGAATTTCTTCCTTTTATTTGACTAATTCAGTCCTAAAGCCAGTACGTAAGGCACAACATGGTCACACATTGGGTTGGGTGAGAGTCACAGTGGGTCACAGTCAAAGGAGGATGTGAAGGTATTCATGTGTAAGGGTAGCTATGCATGACTGTGGGACCCCAAGAAAGACAGAAAAGCGCCATCACCTGAATAGGTTATGGAGAACCCAGGTGTGGTAAGGAGGCAACTACAAATGAGAAGGGAGCTGGCTCTGTGAATGGTATTGATTAAATCAGTAATATACCAATGATAATGGAAGATTGGTTTCTACTATCTCACAAAAAGAGAAAACTGGAATGGACCCTGTAAAGTCAGAATGGAATGGGATGTTTCATTGTAAATTACTACTTTTCTACATACCTGAACTATAGACATAAACTGTGTGTGCATACATGCATGCATATGTGTGTGTGTGTGTGTGTGTGTGTATGTGTGTGATTGTATACTTGTTACCATGTGTTGTAGTTATCAGTGGTTCTTTCCATCCACATACTGTACATTCAAAAACTGGACAGGACAGTTTGTGAACATGAAAATTTATATTTATTAAGATTAAAATAACAAGAAAAGAAGAAAAAAGTGCAATCAAAATGCTCAAAAAGAAAACTGCTGTGAAAATAAGTGTTCTGCAGAATGAGTGTGTGCTACTTAACATGGGAAAAGAAGTTAACCCTAATGAGTGCAAGTTGGGCTGGTGAAGAGACTCACCAGCTTAATGACTACTGTTCTGATGTCAGATCTAAAGAGTTCCATCAAAAGCCTCCTTGATCTCTTTTTTTTGTTTTGTTTTGCTTTTATCGGTACCAGGAATCAAACTCACAACCGCCTGCTTGCAAGGCAGGTGCTTATGCCACTGAGCTAAATCTCCAGCCCCCTCCCTTGATCTCATACCAGTAGATTGGTATCAGGTGCAGGGCTTGGAATTTATTCTGTGCATGGGTTCTCCACATCTATTATTAATTAGTGTCTGTGATTGATAGATCACCACAAATTGCTCAGGCCCTAATTTGCTATGCCCTAGTCTACTGCCTCACTTCCCCAAGAGAGATATAAATTCTCAGATCTTTATGGGCTGCCGCAGGAGTGGTGGTCTCTAGGTTCATATAGCTACTTCTTGCTGAAAATGATTGTAGGTCCTACACACTGCGGATTATATACTCTGTAATGTAGGATGATGACTGAGTTGAAGAAAAACTGTCAGAGGACAATGAGAAAGCAGTTAATGTCTATATATGCAGAACTTTTGAGCTTTCTGTTTAACAGAAGAGAGTTTGGTGAAGTTTTCAGGAGCAATTGTTAGATAGGGTACCAGCAACAATTTATGGGGACAACTATACTCAAAACAGAATTGGAGTACTGCTTTTGAAGAGGAGCCTAACGTCTTTCAGTGATTACAGGAGTAGAATTTTAGTCTTTTGAAAATTTGAGTGATCACTTTCCATGTAGCTTATCTGCATCCCTTGAGGAAGGACCAGAATAATTCCTCAGGAATTGGGAGTAAGAATAGAATTTTGAGGGGCTGCAAGGCTGTCCCACTTGCATCACTGTGAGCCACTGGATTTTTCTTTTTCTTTTTTTTTAATTTTATTTTAAAAGGAAAAAGAGAAAAACACAAAACAAAACAAAGCGGTATAAGGGTACACGTAATACAGAACTACATAAAAAAACAGTAAGAAATCACCTATTAATAGATTGCATATTATCATCTTAGAAATAGTTGCTCAAATCACAGTATCAAAGACTAAAACATGTCAATTTTACATATCTTGTAATGAATGACAGAGAACTGCCTATGAAGATAGACTATCTCTAGAATTTTTAGGTAGCCCCTCTTTTTCCAGATTTTTGTTTAGACACTAACACCAAAACCTTGAACTGACATGCAGAGCAGTAGTAAAGAAGTTCTGACTAGGGTCCCCCTCAATACCAATTATGCCTATAGATCTAGGGGAGATTTATTTCAGAGAAGGAATTAAAAAAGAGTAATTGAAGTCGTTTATGTATGAGGTACAAGGTCATCTGTAGTTTTTTTGTTGCTGTTGTTTTAAGCAGGACATGGCTATAGTGACTCCATTTTGTTTTAGGACTCTATTGTAATTTAATATAAAACTTTAGAGGAACTCACACCTTCAAACTTTAGATGAACTCACATCCTCCTATCGGATTCTGACTTAGATCCTAGGTCTTCCAAATGAGTGTATGGCTGAGGCTAAATAAGAAGAGACAAATTGTATGATTTTTTAGGGCTCCAGGAGGGTCAAAACACTTTAATTAAGCTGAAGGCTCCAATGGTTAACACAAAAACTTCTCTGGATCAGTTCACTCATATTAGGACCAAGAAGAAACTGGGGAAAGCACAGGCAATGAGCAGGACCTTGGGAGTCACTTCAAGGATGTCTCCAAGTAGTGAATCAAGTCCACTTAGTAGCAGTACCATGAAGATGTGGTAGAAGTTAGACTGTAGGAGTAACTTTTGCAGCTGCAGTCTTTATCTTGTTAATTGGGATTGGAGCAACATGTCTGCAGCTGTGGTCTTATCTTGCACTTTGAGTTATCTTTGGCTTCACAGGCCACTACAGGCCTCAGCCAGGACCAGTGATTCATAGAGGTTCACTTACTATGAATCAGCTCCCTTCACCAGGCAAGGGGCCTAGGCCTAGGACAGACTCACAGATAAACATAGAAAGCCAACTAGTAAAATTTAAATCCTGCTTGAAGCCACTTCCTAGTGGTCTCCAACACCCTCCCAGTTAACCAGAAAACCACAAGGGAGGAATAAACTGTTATAGCAAATAATGGACATATTGATTCTTGCCTCCATCCTGTTTGATTAATGACCCTGATGTTTGAGAAAGAACTTATGTCTCTCCTGTCAAATTCCAAATGAAGACATGTGATTTCTATGGTTACTGAGGAGCTTGTTAAGTGTATAAAAACTCATGAGAACAAAGCCTGGTGGTCAATGTGTCTTGGCTTATCGCTGACCATGCCTTCTACTGGCTAATAAAGCTTGGTTGTATCCATTCTGTACATCTTTGAGGGTCTCTTTCATGTCTTCTGCCACTACATTTGGAGCTCCCATTAGTTACTCATGGGCTGGTCCTTGTTTGAGGAGGGCCCATTCCTCCTCACCTTGGCAGTTGGTCTTCAGGTGGCAGGGTAGCTTGGCTGATTTCAGCTAGGCTCCTTGAACGACTGTGAGGCAGGGTAACACAGCTAACACAGCTGCACGATGGAACAACAGAGCTTGTCTCCTGACCTGGGTAAACATTTGGAAATTTGGTTTCATTTAGTATTTGTTGTGGACTCATTCAGGGACTTGATTCCTTGAGCTCGCATTTGGTTAAATTAGTGGGTTCCAAGTCACAGGATGCAGTGATTATTAAGTCTTGGTTTGGCCATGTGTTTGCTCAAAGTTGGTCTCTGAATTTGTTCCAGTTTCTCATTTGGGAGTGGTAACCACTTCCTGGGGTTGTCTGCTTTTTTGTGTGTCTGTGTTGGCCCCCGACACCAACGCACCCAGAATTTCAGATCACTGTTCAATCTATCACTTGACTTGGAGTATTGGTGATCACCCTCCTCTTGGTTTTTCTGCCTCTCACAATCTTGCACTTGGAGACTCTGGAGCATCCAGCCCATGTCCTGAACATTACTGCAGAAACATGCATCTTTTAAAACTTCGCTAGCCTTAGCCTTAGAAAAGGGATTCTTGTGGCCGTTTGCACTGTTGGCTGAGTGAGGGATGGAAGACTTGCTTAGGTAGGCTGCTTCTATTTTGTTCTTAGGCCACAATGAGTTCAGATGACAGCAAGCTAATTGTCTTGGACTGTAGGGTTAAAATTTTTGATAAGTATAAAAGTGAGTATGAGGTAAAGATGAAATGAGGAAAGCTCCATACTCTGTGCAGGCTGGAACAGCCTTTTTGATATGGGGTGGTCATTAGAGGTGATGCTCGATCCTCAGGTAGCCATTGAAATGTGCAACTTTGTCACTGGGAAGCCAGGGCACCCAGGTTAAATTTCCTATATAGACACCTGGCTGTGTGTAGTTTGAGCATTATTTCCATGGTGTAAAATGTGTGCTTGTAGATCACCTAAGTCAGTGTTGGTAACAAAAGGAAAATTCTCTGGGGCAAAATCATCTGTCTTGCCTTTGCCTCAAAAGAGGATGACTCTAACCTCTACTCACTTCGTTGCTACCACCCTCTGTGCTCCTTGCTGACCCTGCAAGGACCATCCCCATCAAGTGACCATCTCCAGAGTCCATGGAAGATTCCGCCTCTCTGGATAAGGAAGTATCTTTCTCAGATGCAGTTCCAGTTTTGACCTTCTGGCAGACAGCCTTTCTAGGAGTGGAAGGGAGTATCTGGTCTGTTTTGGGTTATGTTTCTTTTAGCATTAATGAGTTGTACAATTGGAAGCCTCAGAATCTCCCTTTTATAGAGAATCCTTGGGCTCTGATTACTTTAGTGGATTCAGTGTTTAAAACACATTTCCCTAGTTGGGATGATTGTCAGCAACTGTTGTTAACCCTGTTTTCCTCAGGGAAAAGAGACAGACAGACAGACACACACACACACACACACACACACACACACACACATACAGAGAGAGAGAGAGAGAGAGAGAGAGAGAGAGAGAGAGAGAGAGCACAGACAGTGGATCAAGTGAGATCAGAGACTATGGGAAACTGAACAAGGTAAGGCAGCGGCAGTGGCTCATGTAAGGCAGTGGCTCAGCAATTACCAGACTGGGACCCAAATGATGATCTGGGTGCTCAGCAAATACAGGCATACCACCAGGCCA